CGTCATAAAAACTGTCAGTACCAGTCCTAATATCACTCCCTAACCATCAGTAATACAAAACCGTCACAATACCAGACCATTGCCAGAATAAGGACCAAACCTGGACTCGGTATCATACTGGATGCATAATATACAGTAACAGTCCCACTACTAGTTGGAGTACCAGATCCAGTGCAAATCGTAGTACCAGAACCAATAACAGAGCCAGCTGCACCAAGAGGACCATTACTTGATTAATTATCAGGACCAGAAACACATAGTACTTAGTACCATTCCCAGTACTACGAGTTCTCGAAGCAGACCCAGCTTCGTAGCGGTGCTAGCATCAGTACTGGAGAACCACTTCCAAAATGAGTATTAGAACAGAACTGTAACACCAGGACAACAACTGGTTATAGTTCCAGATCCAGCACCAGAACCATTACAAGCTGTACCATTCATAGAACCAAGATCAGAACCACGACCAGCATCAGCGCTGTCTCCTTTGCACATGTTAACATCTAAAGAACTCAGAGCCTTTGAGCCAATCAGAAAGCTACCCGACCACCAATGAATGTGAGCGTTTGTGTCTCCAGGCGGACGAGGAACTTTGCGTCCTCCGGCGAGAGAATGGCGACCTACTCAAACGTCTGGAAGAGGACCAGGACGACCTCAACCAACTGATGAAGAAACATAAAGCTCTCATCGCGCAGGTGTCGCGCGCCTGACATTTGTCGTCTTGCCTTTTTGTTTTTCATTTCACGATTATTTTTCTCAAACGTCACCTTTGTCCTTTCAGTCGTCCAGCGACATCTGTCAGATCCGAGAGTTGCAGACGGAGCTGGAGGATGTGAAGAAACAGCGACACGGCCTCCAGGAGGAGGTAGCCACGCCCCCTCCTTCATCATAACGTCATCTTCATCCCGCGGCTTCCTGTTTGTCATTAGGGCCTTTTGTGCCAAGTTTTTATTTTTTTTTTTCGTCTGGACCAACGCAGCTCCAGCAGCAGGCGTCCAGGCTGCGCTTCATGGAATCGTCCACGGTGGGGCGCAGCATCGTCAGCAAGCAGGAAGCGCATGTGTGCGACCTGGAGAACAAGCTCGAGTTCAGCAAAGGTCAAGTCAAAAGATTTGAGGTGAGCCAGTTGAAAGCGTGGCGCCGCCGTGTGGCAGCTCCACCCCTTGAACCACTCCACCCTCGCCGCCTCTGTTCTGCATTCGGTTGTTTCTTGTGTGTGGGTGTGGGTGTATACGTGTGTCATACATGATAATGTTTGTTTGTGTCTGTGAACGTGTGCATGTTTCATGGATTTGTGTTGGTCTGTTTGTGTGTCATGTACTTGTGTTTATGTGTGCGTCTTTGTGTCGTGTGTGTGTTTGCGAATGTGTCTGTGCGCGCAGGTGCTGGTGCTGCGGTTGCGCGACAGCGTGGTGCGCCTGGGAGAGGAGCTGGAGCAGAGCACCCAGTCGGAGGCTCGCGAGCGTGAGAACGCTCGTTACTTCCAACAGCGTCTTCAGGACATGCGCGTGGAAATGGAGGAGCTGAGCCAACGGCAGCAGGACAGCGCGAGACGCCGCATGGAGCTGGTGAGGCGGGCAACTTGCTGCCCGACGTATTTCCTGCCCTTCCTTTTGGACCACCACACAAACATAAACATAAAGAAAAACAAAACAAACAAACTTTCCATGGCGTCTTTGGGAGACAACGCCTGACATGTATATGGGCCACGCCCCCTTCTTGCCAACAGCCAATCACCTACCACCTGGAAACACAGCTGGTCAATCCTGTCATTGTTGAAGAGAGACATTTGCGCAGGAACAAATACACACGCCATTCCAATACAGGCTCTCAAATACACACACGCTCACACACAGAAAGACGCTTATGTACACATTCAAGGACACACACAGCAAAATTATGCAGGCACAAAATAAATACACACAAAAGCAGCCGCATGGATGCACAGAACACACACACACACACACACAGATTCTCATCCTCATTGACTGTTCAAGGTGAACACATTGGTGTTGGGTTATTGCCGTGACAACAAGAGTCATTAGCAATGACATCATCATTGTGCATCGGTAGGAGATGCAGGTGGAGGAGCTGACGGCCATCCGCCAGACGTTGCAGGCAGACCTGGAGACATCCATCCGCCGCATCGTCGACCTCCAGGCCGCCCTGGAGGAGGTCCGGTCCAGTGATGACAGCGACACCGACAGGTAACCCCGCCCCCGCCCTCTTCCCCATTTCCCCACCGCCTCACATTCCGGCCACGTCATCCTGTCTTCTCCACCTCAGCGGTCACGCGATGGCGGCTGCCAGCAAACCTCCGTAAGAGCGTATGAACGTGTGTGGGCGTGGCTTGCATGCGACTTGGCTGTCCGTCAACATGCGCTATACAAGTGTATTCGTCACACTTCAGTACCAGCCATTAAATCCTGAAAATTAGTGGTCACCAACCGCCAGTTGATGGCCTGCTACCGGTAGGCGGGGCGTTTGGTACCACAGGGCTGCGCTGAGGGACAGCCAAAAAGAAGTATATATCAAACTTTTTTTGTTTTGGGGTTTTTTTTTTGGGCAAGAGTAGTTGCTCACCATCATGTTGTTCGGCGCAATGTCCAAAGCCTGGTGAAGCCGTTGCGCAAGGTTGTTGAATAGTTGAAAGAAGCGAAAAAGTGAGCGCCGTTTACATCATACATTAGCTTAGAAGCTAGCTTGAGCACATGCTAACCGTGTGATGCTTAGGGGACTGTCTAAAACGCTTCATGTCAAAAAAAAAGGCTTAACGTCGCTCAATGTTTGAAAACTGTGCGCACATCTCTACTCATGCCCACTTCAACCTCTGAAAATAGCGTCCATAAGAAAACATCCGTAAAATCTAAAATATTGAGGCGATCGTTCAAATAATTTGAGGTTGAAGTGGGCATAAGTACACATGTCCGCATTCGTTTTACTCTGATGTGAAGTGTTTTAGATTGTCCCACACTTAGCACCTTTACGTTTTCATAGTTCCGTCTGTCATGATTTCTCGGGTCGACCGACCTCGGAGATGAGTCTGCTGTGCTCACCTGACCTGTGATGTCAGCAGTGACATCATGGTCGTGTCGGTGAAAGCTCTTGTTGCGGCAGTAGGGAATCCAGCAATGGTTCCATCGGGACCGAGGAAACGGGCGAAGGTGTCCGAGGGCGGCGAAGGACGGCCATAGGAGACTCGCGTGCCGGTGGATCGCCCTGTGGCGGCCCTCGGGGTGGGCGCCGGTCGGCGGCCGACTCCAGCAGCACATACAGTTTCCGGTAAGGCAACGTGGGAGTCGGGCATCATTTGTCGTCCATGAGGGTTGTGCGTGTTGCCATCTGGCAATGTTTGTCGGGTATCGCGAGTGTCATTTGTCACGTGAGTCGGCTGTCATTCGACGATCTCGCAGTTTGGGTGCTCGTTTGTGCAGCTCCTGTGACCCAGATGAGGATGACTCAGCCGCGGGGCTTCCAGGAGGAGGTCTGGCCCGGGCAGCATCCTCGTCTGCGCTGTCCGAGCTTCTCGAAGGACTTCGCAAGCGGCGAGCGGGCGGCGACGCGGGCACTTGTGGCGATGCGGGCAGCGCCGTTTCGCTTCCTGTTTATCAAACCACAGCGGCATGCGCCCTGCGCCGCCGGGCCTCGGCGCTCTCCCTCGCATCAGGTGAACTCCCTGAAGCTCGCCCAGGCATCCTGAAGCCGACGTCACCCCTCCTACCTCGCTCCGCCAGCGCTCGTTCCATTTGCGACACGCCAACGGCTGCCTCCTCTGCTACGCCGTTGCGCTTGAACTCCTGCGACTCCCCGGCGCCACTACCATCGCTGCCCCTCCTTTCATCCCTCGCATCCTCGCACGTCGCCCGCCAGCATCCCCCCGTCCGACATGCCTCTGCTGAGCGCTCCCCAACCCGATGCCTCCCCACCCTGGCCATCCCGGAGGAGGACTGGCAGGGACCTCAGCAGTTCGTGTCGACTCTTCAGCGATCCCCGCAGGCACTCCGCCGTTGCACGCAAGGAGGTTTGCTTTCGGAGGACGTCTCTGAGAACACCCTGGCGCCTGACGGCGGGGTGTTCCGGGAATGGCGCCACCTGGGCGAGTCAGACGCCGGGTCTGTCATGTCTGACATGTCCGACGTCCTCCCCGCCATCCGTAGAGCTCAGTCGGCTGGCAGCCTGGCCGGTTCGGTGCGTGGCGGCCGCCGGGCACTCAGCGTCCACTTCGGAGAACTGCCACCATCCACCCGGCGCCGCAAGAGCTCCGACTCGGAGTCGTCTGGGACCGGAAGCTCGGCGGGAAGTGGCGAGCCAACGCGGCCCCGACGACGCACGGACCGGCCAAGAGGAGAACGACTTGAGGCGGAGGGCAGCGAGGCCGGAGACGGCGGCGACGATGGTGGCGACGACACCGGCAGCGGTGACGTGGCCTCCGTTATGAGAAAGTATCTCAACAAGGAAATCAACTAAGCACCTGTTTGCATGTTAGTTAGCATTAGCACACGCTAGCTACGTGCTATTCACGGATATTATTGACAGTTTGCTATGTTAAAGCCACTAGCCGCAAAGTTGGTCCAAGTGCAACAAATGCATTTTCATTTACTTTGCAATAAACGTAATGCCACTTTTCACGACCTAGAAGATTGATATCTTTTTCCCCGTTCATTTTTGTAATGCTTCTATTTAAAGTGTATTATCGGCAAGGACAAACAAACTCCCTCTGTGGAAGAAAACTCTGGTGTATCCGCCTGGGTCTGCGACCTCCCCATGTGGTCCTTGGGGACTGCCAAGTCCCCATGGGACCATGTTGGTGACCCTTGACATTGGGTTTTGGCAATTGAGAGCTACTGGAAGGAAGCTTTAATCATCCGTTTGCCCCCTGGTGGTTGGCTGAGTATCAGTTCATAAGGGGCTCAATTGGATATGAAGCACAATTTGCATTTGAAATATAAATCTGGCAAACCATCAGCTTATTTTTTTTTTTTTTGTGGGTGCCAAAATTGTCATCAGGGTTCAAATTTGATTCATTGTAGAGCCCTATTTCTTTCTTTATCCGGTTGTGACCTTCGCCGTGCGCTAGTCCTGCCGCCAAGCAAGATGGCAGATGGAAGAAGAAGAGATGAAAGGGGGATTTGATGGAATGAGAGAGCGAAAGAAAGAAAGAAAGAAAGAGAGAGGATGAGGAGCGAGATGATGAAGAGCATCTGGGGGAGGCGGAGTTCATCCACATTCATTAATGATGCTACAAGCTACGCTAGGGAACTTCATGTTATCCTGCTAGCTGCTAGCACCTGCTGATAGTTCTTGTGTGCTATTTGTTTGCATGTTTCAAGGAGCGGGTTCCTCAAAGTCCAATGTAAGGCAGACAGGACCTTTTATCCTGTTAGGGCAATTCCATCTTTTAAAAAGTAGTATCATGTGGCAGCAATGTGACCACGTGACTTCTGAGATGGAACAAGAAGTGAAAAGGATGAAGAGAAACGGAGTGAGGGACGGAGAGGCTGAGAGAGAGAGAGAGAGAGAGAGAGCGCGAGAGAATACCAGCAAGACACAGAGACAAAAAGAAGGAGCTGGTGATGCAGAGTGAGCAAAAGATGGAGAGAGAGAGGGAGGGTGAGCGAGCAAGGAGGCTGCAGGAAGCTGTTGTGGCACGGGGATATTCAAGTTGCGCTCGCACATGCCACCGGAGCCTCCGCGTGTCCCGAGATTAAGACCCCCGTGGTGAGGACACCGCCGCCCTTGACGACCCCCGCAGACCCGCCTCTTGTCTTGATGTCTCGGTGCGCGTGCGTGTTGCTGTGGTTGGCGTGCGGCTGCGTCACGCCGCGTGCAGGTAAGACGCGCTCGGCTTGAGTGCGTGCGTGTGTGTGTGTGTGTGTGTGCGCGCGTGAGTGCCCGCGCGTGGTTTTACCTATCGTCTTTTGAGTGTGGGGCCGGGGGGGGGGGGGGACCCCGCTGGACAACACCGACCCCCCCCCCCTCCCCAGGCCGCATGGCTGCTTTGCTCTGCGGTGTGTTCACCGCAGCGCGCGTGCGCGTGCGTGGGACATGTGCGCGCGCGGATGTCAACACCCGCTGCGGAGTGTGTTTGTGAGCATGTGTGCGCGCGCGCGTTATCAAGTTGCTGTTGAGAGGGTACAGTCACACTTCTTCACACACAAACGCAAATCCTCCACTGGTCACAATATTAGGAACCCCTCGACGCCAAACTGATGGCCTGGCAGCCATTTTCATCATTAGGGCAAGAAATGTGTTAGACCTTGGACTGGTAGTGTCAGTCTCAGGGCTGCACGGACAAACAGTGGATTAGTCGCAGAGGATATAAAAAAAGTCTACATACCCCTTGCACATTTTTGCAACTCCACTTGGGTTATTTTGAGTTCCGCTTCTCGAAAAGCCCGCATTTGATTTATCAATGAAGTTGTATATAGGTCAAAGGTCACATGAATGAGGGGAACAATTTTGGTCATGATTTCTCTCGCTCTCATTTTTCTTACAAGATTCTGGCCTTTGAACAGGGGCGTCCAAACTTTTCTTGTGGCTTCCTTTTGGATTTTGCAAGACGAGAAGAAACGAGGCGGAAATCGTTCGGGTTGAAGAGCCTTGCCGGGTTGCGCAAGAATGGCCCGCGGCGGAAAACTTTGCATTGAGTTAGCGTCAACTTAGCGAGAGCGAAACGTGACGTGTTAAGTTAAGCTGAGGATGACAACAGCATCGTCCTCTCCTTCAGCCTAACGAGAAGCAGCCATGACTCGTGTGTTCGCGTTGCACAGCGAGTACACACGCACGTAAACACGCTCACAGAAATTGGGCGAGTACTAGCCTTATTTCAAGAAATCGGGTTCTCGTGATTGCTGCCAGTACCAGCCACCCAAACTTAAGATATCACTCTGAAAAAACATCCCTAATACAGTACACCCAAATGCACACATGGCCGAAATGGATGTACAGTACACAAGGATAATGCTACACCAGGTTTAGTGGGAGCTAGAGCCCCATCACAAATCTGTGTAGCCCCACTTAAGCCCCTTCATTATTTTGTTTGATATTCTTTAATGCATTTAGAAATTATTATCCCAGCCCCCCCATGTATCGGTCAAGCCACCGTTTAGCCCTGGGAGAGAAAAAAATGCTGAAGCAGTCTCTGACAGTACATTTTCAAACCGCGTAAAAAATGTTTACCCCACCAAGTTAAATTTGAAGTCCCCCCCCCACACACACACACCACTCCCCCCGCACCTCCCCCGCAAACCCCACCACACTAAACCCCCCAGTTGCTGTCATGGATTTGGGGGTCTGAAGGAGGTTGTGGGAGGATTGAGGAGAGTGTCATGACACACACACACACACACACACACACACACAGTTTTGCAGCGTCTTTGCTTCCCCCTACTCAGGAACTTTAGAAGCACTAAAAGTGACATTAACGCTTTTTTAAATCCTCACTAATCTCAGCTAACACACACACACACACACACACACACACACACACACACACACACACACACACACACAGCACGAATCTTTGGTTCTCTTTTGCGACCGTAATCCCCGAGAGGATTAAAATGTACGATGATGACAAACTACTTTCACTTCTTCTGGCTGTCATACACTCGTCAGCCAGTTGCCACGACGACCGCTCACAAGCGCGTGCAGGCACACACAGACACACACACACACACACACACACACACACACACACACACACACACACACACACACACTTGGATGTTCAAACAACTTTTGTGGAATCTTATATTTGTTCACGATGCCGTCATCTTCATCATGCTTGTTTGGAGAACCGTGTGTGTGTGTGTGTGTGTGTGTGTGTGTGTGTTCATAAATACTGTAGTGTCCATACTGTATGTGAATATGTATGTTCAAAATATCGAAAGTATTTAGTGTGTGTGCACAGAGCCAAGCGTGGCGAGGGTGCAGTCTGTAGGTTGGCCAGCAGAGAGCGCTCAACAGCAGGCAAGGAGCGTCTTCTCCTCTACGCCGCCTCCCTTCCATGATGAGGTGGGGGGCAGGCCCCCACTTCCGGGAACCACACTCGAGCTCATGCCCACACCAACACACGCGCCCAGCGTCGAGGATGAGACAACACTCCCTGAAGTGGACGCATCATCATCATCATCATCATCACCATCATCAGGTGTGATGTCAATGGCTGAGACGTTGGCCACGCCCATTCCCTCCTTTAGTACATTGCGAGAAAATGTCTAATTTGGGAATCACAGACTCTTTTCCAAATTCTGAATCACTGCAACAGGATATGATCGTCAGTAATATTTATATCTATCCACTCCATAAGAGCCTATTTTGGTTCTTCCAGAAACTTCCAGCTGCTCTGTTACCTTCAAGCAGCCTGAAGGTTACATCGACTCGTCAGACGCGCTTCCCTCGGCTGGCCACGTACGCTGCACGTACACCATCACCGTCTATGCGGGGTACGGCGTCGAACTGCAGGTACATGACACACACGCACACACATGGGCACACTTCTTTTCCTACCAGCGTCCCAATATTTTTGTGCAAGCATAACAAATTGTGACTGGACATTTGCGCGTTCAGGTGAAGAGCGTGAACCTGTCGGACGGCGAGCGGCTGTCCATCAGAGGTGTGGCCGAGGGCGGGGCCTGGCTGCTGCTTGCCAATCAAACTTTGCTGGTGGAGGGACAGGTCATCCGCAGCCCCAGCAACACGCTCGCTGTCTTCTTCAGCTCGGCGCGTGACGACGACGGCGTCGGCACGTTCCTGCTGCACTACCAGAGTGAGCGCGAGCGCACGCACATACAAAACGTGCGCGTCGAGACACGCGCACACACGCACGCAAACTGACGCAGCACTAAATGGCTGTTTACGACGATGCTAATGTGCTTATTACATGCAGTCAACACATGACTTAACACGCTTCTTAACGAGCTCATTAAAACTTTCATTCAGTTTGCGCTCGTTAAACGCCTCCTGTGTGTGTGTGTGTGTGTGTGTGTGTGTGTGTGTGTGTGTGTGTGTGTGTGTGTGTGTGTGTGTATACGTACGTGTAGCAGCCATGACACATAGGCTATTAAATACAAACATTAGCACTCGACAGAACCTAGCGGCAACACAACCTAACTAAACATGTACCGTAAAAGTCGTTGCGTCCGAGCAAACAAAGTGAAAATAAATGCTAATTGTTGTTTTTGTGATTGTTCCTTGGTGTTTGTCAGTCTTTCGACTGAGTTGTTTACTTCCAAAGCGGCCCCACTTTGGGGAGGTAACCGTGTTGGACCTCTTGCCCGGGGGCACCGCCCGCTTCCACTGCCACATGGGCTACCACCTGCAAGGGAAACCGCTGGTCACCTGCGTCAACGCCTCACGGCCGGCGTGGAGCAACAAGGAGCCCACCTGCAGAGGTCAGTGTCCCGAGGGAGGGCTCTGGGTTTGGTGCGCCCCCTCATTTCTATGAGTGATCTCCTCTCTCTAGCTCTCTGCGGCGGTACGGTGAAAAACGCCACGTTGGGCAGGGTCCTGTCCCCCTCGCCTCACCACGGGCCCAACTCCACACAAAAACACTCGTGCTCCTGGTCTCTAGAAGCCGCCCAAGAGCGGAGGCTGCACCTGCACCTGGAGCGCCTGCTACTTGGACCCTCGGACAGGTGGGTCAGAACTACACCCTTGGAACAACAGGAGGAAGTTGTTGATGATGTGTTCCGGTTAGATTGGTTCTGTGGAGCGGCCTGGATGCCGGATCCGTGGTGCTCTTCGACTCGGGTCGGAGCGCACATGTCCCCTTTGAGGGGGTGATCAGCGAGGGCCCTGCCGTGAGGATCCAGTACTTCATGGAGCAGCCCGACCAGAACACGGGATTCAACATCCGCTATGAAGGTTTGTATCGAGACAAACATGAGCATCTTGGACCAAATGTGTCAGAGTCTGAGACCAATATTTTCGACGAAAAGTCCACCTGCTGCCATTGATTGGGTTTCATTATTATGCTCCAGCCACAGCACTCAAGTCGACGTCCAAAGCTTAGTTTTTATTTGACTGATGGCCAACTGTCTAGTCTACTATACCCATGCAGTGCGTAGGGAATAGGTAGGAAATGAGTGACGGATTCTAAATGCAGCCCACTTTGTCCTTTTTTTGCCCCTATGCAGCCTTCGAGCGAGGTCACTGCTATGAACCGTACCTCCAGAATGGCAACTTCACCACATCGGACCCCCTGTACGGCGTTGGCGCAGTGGTCCAGTTCAATTGCGACCCGGGTCATGCCCTAGAACAGGGTCCCCCCATCATCGAGTGCATCAGTGCCAGAGACCCTTATTGGAACGACACTGAACCGCTTTGTAAAGGTGACCAACAGAAATCGAGAAAAGCCTCACAAATTAGCGTCTTGGAATGTAAACAATACAATTCATCATAGCAACTTAACCAAACTAAGTTAGCAACATAACCTAATAGCTCAAGTAACCTCACAACCAATGTAAGCTAAGAACTTGTGCCCAGCACAACCGAACTTACGAAAGTAGTAACAACACAACCTAAAAAGTACGGAGGTGCCAACGTGAGGTTTTTGTTTGTTATTTTTATTTTAGCTCAGTGCGGAGGTGACCTGAGCGGACCGGGCGGCGTCATCTTGTCGCCCAACTGGCCCGAGTGGTACGGTGAAGGGGAGGAGTGCGCGTGGAATATCCACGTTGGAGAAGACAAGCGGGTGCTCATCGACGTGCAGCTGTGAGGGCAACAACAACAACTCCTGGTTGATTGACGGCATAACTGGCTGATAGAGGGACTGACCGGCTTACTGACTGACCTTTGGACAGACGAATGGATGGACAATTGGATGGACGGAGTGATGTACAGACTGACGGACAGCATCCCGCAAATGACAATTAGCATTAGCATGCAGCATCTCTGTGAGGTAAGCTGAGCGCTGGCTTTCTCTCTGTCTGGCGCCAGTCTCAACATCAGCGACGGGGACTTGCTGACAGTGACGGACGGCGACGAGGGTGCCGCCCGCTCGCTGGGCCACTACTCGGGGGGGCGTGCCCCCTTCAAGCTCTTCTCCAGCACCCCCGACCTCAGCGTCACCTTCCATTCGGATCCGGCCGGACTTGTGCTGGGCAAAGGGGAGGGGTTCATCATTAATTACATGGGTGAGGCAGGCCGCACACAACATCGACATCACCTAGAAACCTCCAAAACCTTACAAGCAGCACCACTTGTATCTCCCCTGCCCTTCCGTACTTGCACACACCGCCTCCTCCGTTTAGCCTTGCTGTCCTGCTGAGTCACTGCACAAACTGACAAATGCGCAGATTATCTTTAAAATAACTCCGCACAATGGCAACACAAACACTGACTCATTCTTTGTGAGTCACAAACACTGACACACACACACACACACACACACACACACACACACACACACACACACACACACACACACACACACACACACACAAAGATGACAACAAAATGCTAAGTCTGATGCTAACATGCTAATACACCAACGACGCCTCTGCCGGTCCACAGAGGTCTCCCACAACGACTCGTGCGCCGACCTGCCCGAGATCCAAAACGGCTGGAAGACACGCGTGGACGGCTTGGCATTACGCGGCGCCCGCGTGACCTACCATTGCGACCCAGGATACGACCTGCAGGGCGGCGACACCCTCACGTGCCAGATGGACCTGTCGTGGAGCACACAGCCGCCGTTTTGTCAGAAGAGTCAGTAGCCGTTTCTCAATTGGTATTCTTGTCCGTTCTTATGTCCTTGCGATCTGGGATAACATTATCAGTGCCGACCTAAGTCCTCTTCCAATTTAAATTGCACTTAAAGCAAGATAGCATTGAATACCCGGACGTTGTCCTTTGCTCACTTGAGGAGTACGTTCTTAGACGGACAGTACGTGGGCAGTTCGCTTTGCCTTCTTCATATTGAGAAATGGCAACTCAATTCCTGTCTTCACTTCAGAAATTCGGCCTTTGTGTATTAGTGATGCAAGATCTGGAAGGATTTCAAACACTTCCCACGCGTCTAACCTTGTTCTTCTTCTGCTTTGACAGTCATGTACTGTTCAGACCCAGGTCACGTGGAGCACGCCGCCCGCTCCCTGTCGGATCCCAAACTGCTCGTGGGGACCACTGTCCGATACCGCTGCAACGGCGGATACATTCTACAAGGTGGCGCCACCATCACCTGCTATGGCCGTGAGCCTGGGACGCCGGTGTGGACTTCACACCTCCCACGATGTGCCCGTGAGTCACTTTGTGTTTGACGGAACGAAAATATGACTGGAACAAGAATTGGTCCTGTGAGATAGGACAGAACACAACATGGAGTCTACTACATGCAAACAACAGAACCTACGAGTGACACATGTCAGCGACACAACATAGCAATCCATATGCAAACGACTTGCTCGTGAGGGAGGTCTGTGTTTTGTGGCGCGCCGTGTTTGCCTTTGCAGCTGAGGACTCGCTGTCCTGCGCCAACCCCGGCGTCCCCGACAATGGTTACCAGCTGACGTCCAAGCGCATCTTCTCGCCCGGGGAGACGCTGGCCTTTGTCTGTTATAACGGTTACCAGCCGGTCGGTGACGTCACCATTAAGTGCGTCCAGGGAAGCCCCTCCTACTGGAGCGGACCATTGCCCATCTGCAGAGGTGAGACGGCAATCAAAGTATTTCTTGATGAATGATGAAGGGTTGATGGATTAGTGACTGTGCTGGGATAGCTTGAAGGTTGTGATTTTTTTTCACCCCCTTTCAATCCTACAAGTGGCTGACTTGACTTATGGATGAATGAGTACTCAAGTGACGAATCAGTGAATGCGTAGGGTTGGTGTTTCAAAGTAGGGTTAGAAAGTTATGTCTGGGTTTTCGAATTAGGATTAGGGCTTCAAAGTAGGCTCCCGAAGGAAAAGCCATCTAGCTAACTTCGGGATGCTTCTGTGCGGCAACAGAGGCGGGCTTAGGCATTGTGCACAGGGTGCCAATGATGAACACAAAGTACTTGACGTCACTTGACGGCTTACTCGATGTCTTGCAGCTGACCACGCCTGCTTCGCCAACCACGCTTTGGAAGGTGAGTGTGCGCGTATGCGCGGGGAGGTGCGCCCGTGTTCACGACTGTGTGCGTGTGTCAGTGTCACACGCCAGCGGCGGCGTCGGCGCGGCGGTGGACGGCAGCAGTTTGCCGTTGGCCGGGTTGGTCCTGCTTCTGCTGATGTCGGCGCTCCTGGGAGGCATTTACGTGCTGGCTACACGGTGGGAATTCCCGTCACTTTGGACGAAAATGAACGATGTTTGCGTCAGCTAACACTTCCCTCAACGTTCTGCGCATGATGTCACTTCCTGGCAGGTGCCGTCCTGGCTCCGACCTCGGTCTGCCTCTGGTGTACCCTCACCCGTACCGGCAGATCACCGCGGAGACGGAGTTTGAGAACCCCATCTATGAGGTGGGCGGCGCGATGAGTGAGCAGCTGCTTTAGCTTAGCTTAGCTTTGGTTTCGTATTAGCTTAGCTTTAGCCCCCTCGTGTGCTTTGTGCGCAGGACTCTCGTGAATATGAAGTGTCCATTTGAGAAACGCCAAAAAGACCCTGCCACACGCTTCCCGGGAGGAGGTGATGTAAATAGCTTCGAAGATGTCTTCAGATGCCCACTTGGGTGGTGGGTGGGGATTTTCAGCCAAGGAAATACAGAAAGTGGAACAATGAGGGTTTTTGAAAAAAGAAATCATATTTGTCAAATGATGAACCTTTTTCTTTTTTTTCTTTTTTTTCACACGTCAATTTGTGCAAATAAAAATGCTTCCTATTAAGCTGTCAGTCTGATGAAGCAATCGATGCTAAGCTAACAGGAATGCAAAAATAACGTTCACGCAGGTTTTATTGTGTAAATATGCCGAGCAAGGAGTTGATTCCGTTCCCGTACTCATGTCGTCATGAGATTCATAATGATGTCATATTCGTGTCATGTGATGATGACTGGTGTGCTGTACCTTTTTTTTTTTTGAGCAGGAGACAAAATAAATAAATGTGACTTGTTTAGAAATGTGGATGCTGTCAAAATAACATTACAGAAACCGAGCTTCCTTGATGATGTCACGAAGCCGAATGACGTCTAGAGTCTAGAAAATGTGGATGACTTGCACATGAATGACGTGAATTGAAGACGTATTCCAAGAATGAATGACAAAACCACTTTGAATTATCGAATGAATTCCTGAGTGGTGAACACATGCCGTATGAATTAATTAAAAGATATGATTTGTTCAGTCATGACATTGTCAAAAGACAGCTCGAGGCCCTATGAATAATTGAATATGAATGAATAGCAAAATGAAATGAATAAATAAAAACACGTGACTTATGATTGGTACGATTGAATAAATGATGCAAATATTTATCTTATGAATACACGAGACGAAGGAGCTAGCTTAGCGAGGGACTACGCGCAATACATTTAAGTCAAAGTGATGCTAGCACGCGCACGTTGGCATCATAGCGCCGGTTTGCACTTTTGCTGTCGTCGCCGTTCCAGCGTGCCGCCACCGCCATGCCAGGACGAAACATCAAGGCGGTCTGGGGAAGGTCAAGGGTCAGCATGCAGTACCTTTAACAACAATCCTCATCGCCGCACATCACGCGCCACCCTGAGGATGCCTCCTGCCGTGCACACATACCAATATACACGATAAAACACACACACACATGCATAATGCACACAGAAACGCATCACACAATATACACACAAACACACACACGCCCACACAGGATACACAGATGCAAATGACACACATGCAAGTTGTCCTAATGTTCATTTCATGAAGTCACATCAATATATAATAGTTAGCATGTGCCGTGAGCCACTACAATGGTGTAAAAACAAAACCAAATCTTTTTTCATCTTTAGAATTTATTCATGAGTAAAATGAAAGGTGAGCAGTGGGCGAGGGGGTTGTACTCACAGGCCGAGGTGGGGGCGGGACAGTAATTGTGGGCCAAGTTGTGTTGCTCCATGGGGACCTGAGGAGGTATTGTCATATATAGAGGGAGGAGTCAACATGCTGGGTTCAGGTAAGCTCCGCCCACAGCACACATAAACAGTCATGCCGTCAAACCAAAAATGCCCATCATCCCATGTTGCCGCTTATCATTCAAAAGTGGTCTCTGCCCAATTTCGGGTTACGTGACTCCATCTTTGAGACAATTTTCTTGAAAAGCGGGAAGTCATCAAGGACGTGCTTCTTTGTTGTTAGTGATACAAGTGCAGGCGGAAGGCATTAGCGTTGTGCTCAGCGAGCAGGAACAGGAAGAAGTGGAAGAAGAAAAGGCAGGAAGCGTGAAAGTCAGCAACACTGCAGGAATAAGAACACAAGCTTCATGTTAGTCATACTCGCACACACCGTTCATTTATTCACGCATGTTAGAGGGCAGTGGACCTCAAAATAATTCAGACATTTATGACAGACATATCAAGACATACATACACATGTATGTTCACATAAATACGTCTGTCTGCCTGTCTCTCTATCAATTAATTATGGAAGGGTGGAGCTGCCAACATGGAGTCAACATTTTTGGCTGAGAAACTCATTCGAGCCTACTTGCAAATACGTTTGAACGTGTTTGTAGGCTTAATGCCAAAAACATAGCATTATTTTCCATCATGCCACAGGATATTTACTTGCATATGGGGTCAAAAAAGACAAAGGGAGAGAATAATAAAACCATAACAATTACTCATAACAACGTTTACTGATGTAATTTTAGCATGTATTGGTAGGCCATTTTTTTTCTTCATATGTAACAGAGTGATGCATAAAGTTATTATATTATGACCGAAGTGACGCAACAGCGCACAGTGTGGCAACTGCTTCCCGCCGTAGCATCAGTCCGAGCTACCCGGAAGTGGCGTTGGTGAGTACTAACTCGTTCATGGTTCGCAGTAATTATCAATTTCATAAGAATATTTCACGTGGTTTTTCTTTTTCTACTGTGTGGTGTACTCAATGAATTCACCGATTTGTTACAAGTCGACGTTGCTTTGTGTGTTGTTATTTAATTTACGTTTTGCCGAGTGACACATGGAGTTGATAGCAAGTGCTCGTTTGTTGTGCAGCAATGTACAGGACTGAATGCGGCTTCACTAATGCTCCAGCCACGCTGTGTTACCAGTAATGTTTGTTTCTTTTCAGTTTTGCTGTATGTAGTTGATCATGTTGTGTTTTTTATTTTCATTCAGTCGATTGTGTTAATGGTGTGAGCCCGCAGTTCGTCGCGGCCGCCATTCTTGTTCGATGCGCAGCCGTTTCTGCTGCGTCATGTGTGATGTGTTCAATGACATCTTGTAAATAAGACTGTTTGTGTTCTTTTTTTCTTTTACTGTATATAGTTACTATATTATCATCACCCACGTTGTGTATTTTGTTTTCTTATGGAGGATGTTTAGTTAGACAGCTACAAGGAAGTCACATTGCAATGTACAGGACTGAATGCGGCTTCACCAATGCTCCCGCCATAATGTGTTGCGGAGTTGCAACAAAAGAAAAGCCACAAAATTCACCTCAGTGTAAGTGTTCTTGAAAACTGCCACAGTCTTGTAGTGGGACCCATCATACATACAAAAGTCAATACCCCATGGCATTATGGGGAAAAAAATGCTGTTATTAGCATTTAGTCTACAAGTAAGTTTGAGCATTTTTGCACGTCGCTTCAAACGAGTTAGCAAGTCGCAAATATTCACATTGGCAGCTCCCTGCTTCCGTAATCTATTTATCTATGGAGAATGTTTTCACTCGCCTCCTCGTCGCTCTCCGTGTCGGCCGTCGTCATCTTCTTTTTCTTCTTCTTCTTGTCATCTTCATTCTTCTTCTTGTCTTTGTCGGGCAGAATGTCATCCAGCCAGGCCAGGTCGTGCTGGGAGAACATCATATCCAGTAGCTTTCGTACCACCATCAGACCCAGGATCTGCACACGGGAACCCAGTGAGGATGCATGCACAAACACACTGTTTCTCAAACACATTGATATCATCTTTGGCCCCAAGGAAAATTTCACATTTGATAGTATATATCACTTTGGGCTCCACCTTCATAGACTGTTTATCCAAGACCTCTTTAAAACGCTTATGTTCTGGAATCTATCTCCACGATAAACGGAGGTAAATCATTTCTGTCAGTGTTCTCACCATCACGGGAAAGATGATAGCCAGGAAGGTGGACTTCAGGACCCAAAGGACAGCCAGGCAGGTGATCTGAACCAAGGTGAAAAGGTGGACTCGGCGCAGAGGAACATGACGCAGGAAGGCAAAGTCCGGCTGGTGCTTAGGCGGCATCAGGTATAACTTGATGCGCTCCCAGAACTGGCAAGTAAACGCAATTACACACACACATACACAGAAATGTGCTACCTGAAAGCTAATGCTAACGCCAACCTGGATGCCGCTCAGTGAAGCCACGCCCATGTACAGGAAGACGCCGTACAGCACCGGCATGGGGATGTACTGCAACGTGAGAATTTGTGTTAGCTTCACGAGCATACATTAGCTTCAGTGGCATGATTAGCATGCTAACGTGTGGACGGACGTAAAACGGAGTCAAAAAAGAGGCACTGTGTTAGTATGCTATGCTAAGTCATCAGCAAGAGTTGTAATCAAAGAGTTGTTTGTTGCTAGAATGCTATGTCATTTGTATCTTGTTGTGAAGGAGCGAAAAACGATCAGATTTGTGAAGCAAATCATGTTTCAGAAGTAGAGTAGTTCAGGGAAGAGCAGATTGACTTGGAAATGCAAGACTGACCTGCAGGACGGGCGCAAGGAAGACAGAAAGTCCCGTAAGGACGAAGACGAGCGTTCCGGTCAGCCTCTGCTCGCTGGCAGTGAGGAAGAGAGCAACCGAGTCAACAAGGAAACAAAGAGGTCTTTGGGTGTGGTGGCGGTGGGTGGGTGTTTTACCGGACCCCCAGAAACTGGGGCTGCTCGCCAGGGGCACTGGACTCGCTCTCCATCTTGAGCGAGTCGATATGCGCAATGGAGATGACGGTGGCGGCCACGTACCACGGCAGACCCATGAAGGAGCACACTGCCATCAGGATGCCCACCCAGAACAGGTCCAGGTGGTACCCACAACCTTTCTGCGGGGGAGGACGGAGCAGGGGGTAAGGTGGCGGTGGCGGAGACACACTTCAACCCATCCATCCTTCAAACAGCGATGAGAGTGCAGCGGCCAAGCAAATAACCTTGAGTTTATTCTCCTTGCGGTTGACGATGACAGCGCTGATCTGCTGGTCCATGAAGATCAAGATGGTGACCAGAAGTGCCGGCACAAAGCTGGCCACGTACCACCACCATGGATTCTTACCGAACGGCATCACCAGCCAGCCACGGTCGGCGCGCGTGGGCTGCAAAACAAGTTCCACTTCAGTTGGGATTTACGCATGCGCTGCATCTGGAAAGGATTCACACAGCTTCACTTGGGGCAGATTTTTTTGTGATTAGTTTTTCCAAATCACAGTGGTACCTTGACTTACCAGTACTTTGTTAGTAAGGATTCCAATCATTGATTTGGACTCCCGAATCACTACATGAGGATTTTTTTTTAGTGGACTTTAAATACAACTTCAGCCTTCCTTCTCAAAACACAGGAAGGAAAGGCCTGGATTCAAACCCACAACCTCTGCACTTAGAGGCGGATATGCTAACCAGTCATCCACCGTGTTGCCCACCTATGGAAATGAAAGTTTTTAAAAATACAATTCATCGATTAACTTAAAAAAAAAATAAATAAATAAAAAGACATTCAAATAGCTAGTTGCAGCCCAAGGGGTAACTTATCAGCTCAAAATGAGGAGGAAGTGAAGCACCGTGAAACCTTTCGCAACACCATAGTAATAATAATAATAATAATAACAGAGTGAAGTTAGCATGCTGGTTAAAGTGAAGAGGTGGTGTACCTTCAGCTCAGTGGGAACGATCAGTTTGGGCGTGTCTAAACCCATCAACATATCCAGAGCCACAAAGGACATGATTGACATGAAGATGGCAAAATCACTGATTAGCTTCCTTAGCTTAGCATTGCACAAACACACAAACACAGTGAAGAGGAGAAAGCCAAGATTTGTTGGTTAAATCTGCACAATCACCGTCATGAAATACGATTATGCAACACTGAGGTCGATGGGACGTGGGTTGCGGGGTTTTCTATACAAAGGGCATGTGATGCATTCAGGGACCTTCATGTGCATGGGAACGTGCAGTTTGGGCGTGTCCAGTCCCAGAAGGACGTCGATTCCGCAGAAGAGAAGGATGGAGATGATGATAGAAAAGTCGCTGATCAGCTGACGCAGCTGCGGCGGGAAAAAAGGGCAGGGCCACGGAATAGGGTCAGCATGCTCTCTTGTACGATCGCTAGGTGACGGTAGCATCTGGCTAACGTGCTACTTATGTTTCTTTGGTTGTTAGCCAAATTAGCTAACGTTTCCTGCGATCTTGTTAACATGCTCAGAAACGCACGGGTCATTTTCATATCATTTGATCAGTAACGGTCAAGACCAACCACGCTGAATTTTATTCTGGAAATCACTTCATTTGACTGATGTGAGAATTTGAATTATTGAGAGTTATAATTCAAAAGGTAAGATTTGTGAGTGCATTGCATTGTTCAGATGACATTTGCTTTGGACTGCCATAAATATGGCGTATTTATCTCTTGTCGGTTACAGCCTCAAATTTGAAATCATCAATAACTTTCGCAAAATAGGACTTGAAGCTCTTTACCATTATTAATGGAATTATATGAAAATGATCCACATGTCATCTTAGTACATTCTTGGTAAAAGCTGCCCATGCTGGGGTCGCGTGCAGGTTGACAGGTGGGCACAGAAGATCCGGTCTGGTTCCGGTCGGGTCTCATTCTCACCTTGGTGGGGAAGTAGCGGCTAAACTTGAACTTCTTGAGTGTGACGGTCATGGAGTACGTGCCGAAGAAAAGGATGAAGGACATGAGGGCCAGGTCGGGCACATACTTGCATGCTTTGCCCACCAGGGTACCGCCGTACTTGATGCACTCCTTCTTGCTCAGCTGAGTCCAGTCCAGATCGCTCACGTTAAACTGCGGTGCCACCCGTGAAACAATCACTCGTTATGCTCATGACTTGCTCACAAAAATTGTCACTCACCAAAAGTGACATGTTGTCATCGGCCAAAGGAGCTGAAATGTTCCAGGGGCGACCTGGAGAAACGGAAACCAGGTAACAGGAAGTGACAATGATGTCAAAGAATATTCAATTACAAACAGGAAGCACAAAACAAGAAGTCACATTGATGTCACGGGAAACAGGAAGTGACATGCAGGAGAACTGAGAACCAGGAAACAAGGTGACATCGATGATGGAGAAGATTCAGTTCCAAACAGGATGTCATTCCTTGATTAGGAAACAAGATGGAGGACAGAGCGGAGATTTTTACTTACGTTTTCAGGCCACACCATCGTGAGGGAAGGGATACAAAAGATAAACATCAAGACCATGAAGAGCAGGTCTTCAGGACCTGTAAGAAGGACTCACCTTGGTCTGGAGGGACACAGTCGCACTTGTAAGATGTGACGTAGTCAGGCTTGAAGGCGCGGTTGATGGGGTAATACTTGAAGGCGCCCACCTGGATGGAGGACGAGGGTCAGAGGTGGCTCGCATATGGCGGTGCTAACATGTCGGAGGTGTGTAAGTAGCAGCTAGATGGCTGCTCTGTGGCAGGTTACCGTGTGCTCACTGGCGGGTTAGTGGCAGCTAGCGTGGCACGGACATGGCAGGAAAGTGTGGGTTGAGGAAGGTCAGAGGAAGAAGACACATGACAGGAACGTGCCAGGTAGGTAGGAAAGTGGCAGGGATGCGGTTTGTGCAGGTCCAGTGGCAGGTCGGTGACAAGAATGTGGCAAGTAAGATGAGTGTGTGGGTTCAGTGGCAGCAAAATGACAGGAAATGGCAGGTAAGAAGCAGTTGGCAGGTGATGGAGGGCAGTCAAAGGTGTATTATCATTGACAGCCGGCAGGCAAGTCACGGGTGGGTGTGCGCTTTGCATGTGCGAGGGAAGCAGACCATCTTTTTGATGGCGTCGGAGATGAAGATGAAGGAGATGAGGCTGGAGAAGCCTTCCTCTGTGAAGCGGGTCATGTACTGGATGATGTAGCTGGCGTCCGACAGCACCAAGACGAAGCACTGCAGACACGAGTGAATCCCGATCCAAAGGCGCAGCTCCATGTAGTCCACGCCATTGCTCCTGGACACAAATGTGGCATCACCGTGGTCACGCGTGTCCACTCTCTCACCTCCCTCAGCCTCGATCTTACTTGCAGAATTCATAGAGGAGTTTCTCAAAGATGAGAATGGGTCCAGTGGAGCTGAGGATGATGAGCGGCTGGCCGCCAAACAAACAAAAAACGGTTCCCGCCAACGCCGTCCCCAGGAAGCTCTCCATCACACCCTGTGGAGGAAGGAGTCACCCAGGCCTCAGAGAACGCCTCGGACCGCAAAGTCCTCAGGACGAGACGTTTTGTTCACCTGGTAGTTGTCGGTGGCATCGCCCAGCAGGCCGCCAAAGGTGATGGCGTTGGTGATGCAGCCCAAGTATATGAAGAGTACGGCTGAGATGGTCTGGATGTGGAAACCGTCGTAGATGTCGCTGCAGTACCATGGGATCTTCCTCTTCACGTCCAACCACAGACCTCCGCCGAGCCTTTAGGCAGGAAGAACAAAACTGGAAATGGTCTTGGAGTTGAATATACTCCCAATTACATCAAACCCTAATCCTAAACCCGGGTTAAAAGCCATGGTTCAAATCCCTGGGATTAACCTTCAAAGAATTTGCTCTACCAAATGAAAAAGTTGCTCCTGAAGTGAAGTTATTGATTCGTAAAACTGCTCCACCCCAAAAAATACTACTAATAATTTGAAGCTTTGGATTTCTAGACCTGAACAAGTTGTTTCATAAAAGACACGTTAGATTCACTTCCGATTTGTGCCTCGTCGCCTAACAAGCAAACATTTCCCAACTCCGTCCCCTTTCCCGCTCTGGACCTCCAGACGTCTTACCGGCCAGTAAACTTAAGCTCTTCGCCGATCTCATGCTGGACAGGAAGTTGCTCGTCTTCCCCGCCGACCGGCCCCCCAGCCGAGCCATTCATCTGAGCCAGCTCATTTAAATTCAGCACAGACTTCCTGGAACGCGCAGAACAAGACCGGGTTGAGGGGCCGTGTTTGGCAGCGATGGAATCATAAGGCGGTACACGGAACCCCTGCCTCATCTCCGCCGACGGAACCTTCTTGGGGGGTTCAATGCGGATTTTGGGGTCCCATTCTCCTGGAGGCAGGACGATGACCTCGTCCAGGAATTCATCCACGCCTGCAATCAGGTCCTCGCGGTCCCTCGCTTTATAGGCTACGTCACTAAACAGCTGGAGGTCCAAGGATAGGCAGAGTCAAACGAGATGGCGGCCAGAGGCTGTGCAGGAGCCATTCGGGGGCGGGGTCAACTTACGTCGTCCACCATCAGTGTGGCGATGGCACGACCGATCTCATTGTAGGACTTGGTCTTGCCGTGAGGGCCCAGCAGGATGAACAGGAACCTGCAAGGCACATCCTCCTCACAAATACTTGTAGCAACCTCAAACACGGTGGTCCTGAACTCACAGGTTCCACATCGATATTTCGCTTTGTGCTCTGAGACAAAATGTGAACCGCGGGCCTGGACAGTTTATCATGTTATCAGGTTACAGGGTGCATGAAAGGGTTAAGCAGAATGTGAGTGTTGTCAAGGCACCACCCACCTGGTCGGCACCGGAACTTCGGTTAGGCCACCGAGCGTCGTGGCCTGAGCCAAACGCACGAAGGAGACGAAGGGTTTGTCCAGAAAATCCACCTCACCAATCAGCACGTTGGATGCCTCAGCATCTCGGGGAATTTTCTTCATGAACTTGTTCTTCATCTGCACAAGGAGCAACACCCACAACTTGCTGACGCAGTGGTGCAATACCTATATCCTCCACCAGGAGACGCCACCAGACCTAGACCTGGATCTTTTAAGTCTAATGGGAAATGTGAACGGTAGATAACTTTGATGACCTAGTTAATTTTTGTTTTGAGGGTTTTTTTTTCCTCCTGCAGGTAAGGTAATTGAACACAATCTCATTTGCAACGCCAACCTGGCAGCAGACGGCAGGCACAAACAAAGAATACCGAATGAACACGTTAATCTCCAATCATCTTTACATTCTACTATGTTCATGATCACTGCTCAGAGGTTCATGCGTGCACACCAAAGTGCAAACAAACTTTTAAAAGCATCCCATTGGCATCAAAAGAGAAAACAAAAGCGTCGGCGGACGACCTGAATTTTTGTTATCGTTCCCACGATCATCCGGAGATTAACGCCGCCGGCCCTACCGGTCACCAGCCACCAAATCTTCAGCGCTTAACATGCCAATGTGGAGGGGTGGCAGCAAAAGCGCAAGTTACTGCGGGTTCACTGGCAGGTTAGTGGCAGCTTGGAGGCCAGGAAGGTGACAGTTAGGTAGCGAGGTTGTTTGTGTGAGTTCACTTTTGGCAGATTAATGGCAGGTGAGGTGGTTTTCGTGCATTTGGCAGGTAAATGGCCAGTTAATGATGGCTTTGGTGTCAGATAAGTGGCGGTTGGGTGAAATTGTGGCAGTCGGCAAAACCGAGGGGGCACCTGGGCAAGTGGCGCAAAGGTGGCATTGGAGGTGACACACTCGTATTGCTCGGTGGGCTTTTGCTGCAGGACACTTAGTTGCAGCTCATCAGCAATTCCGCTAGCTACTGCCAGGACAACGGGAATACAAAGTACATACAGGCACACACACACACACACACACATGAGCTACAGTGTTACCTGGTCAGAGCTGGGCGTTTCCGAAATGTCATTCATGCTGCGACTCTGCGCATGATCTGTAAATGCAACACAAACACAGAATGTTCATTTGAAGACCAACAAAGAAAGCACTGACACGCGCACACGCAAGACACGGATTACATTCTCAATGATTTAGAACCTCAGCCAAATTACCCCCGTAATCCTTTTCACGCGTTGTCCAGAAGAAACACACAAAAATTGATCAAACACTTGAAAGCAAAAGACATTTACAAAGTAAGAAATGTTATCATTTTTTTCCTCTCAGTTTTTTTGAAACGTTCTCTCTTTTTTTATAAGAATTTAATTGATCCATCGATTCCTTTTTGGGGAGCTAGAATCAAATCAATGAGTAACTGCTCTTCAAGCATGTGAGCCCCCCTGGCTGAAGAGTCCTCAGGTCGCAAGGTTTAGTTTTGCGTCACGGACAAAAATAGAACGAATGTGGTGTCACAAATGAACAGCAAGTGTTTCAATATCACCTCAAATTTCCCCTTGATGCTGTAAGTAAGACGAAATTACAACCGTGTTAAACTTTCAGATGCAAAGAGGATCCTTCCAAAGCCCCCCTCCCCGCTCACAAATGCACGTATTTTGTGTGTTCGTGTGTGTTTGTGTGTGTGTGTGTGTGTGTGTGTGTGTGTGTGTGTGTGAGTGTGGTTTGTTGTTATATGAATTATTTTTGCTCTATGTCCAGCACTTTGTACACAGAAGTGGTTGTTTTAAAGTGCTCTATGAAAACATCCAAGCTGATATATTGTTTCAATACAATTGAGTGTCCTAATTTGAATATATAAATGTCAATTTGCCTTTTTTTTTTTTTTTGCCCCAGGACCATTTAGCCAGAGTTGGTCACATGTATCAAATACATGGGAAAAAAATGTATGCTGCATTTTCAGGTCAGAGTTAAAGAAGCAAAGCATTACAGTGTTAGCATTGGATCCTAAAGGTAAGGTGATCAAAATGAGTGGGTTGCTTGTGTGTGTGTGTGTGTGTGCGTGTCTACGTGACCCACGCAGGCGTCCCAGGCTGCTGGCGTGTCTCGGCAGGTCATCGGTGGAGCGACGGACGGCGGAGGCGGAGCTTGTGCTACGACTCAGGTTGGCCTGAGGACTACGGTCTAAGCGAGCAAGGGGTGGAGTTGGGGTGAAGAGGCGGAGCAAGCAGGCGGCACCATGTTAGAAGCCCGAAAAGCGTTAAGACTCAAGCGCAAAGCGGCAGCGGCGTGCTACATGCATCATACATACGTAGGTAGCGTATACGTGTGTGAACAGGGCATGCGTTGCGCTCGCTTACTGGCGGCGGCGGACGACGACGACGACTTCCCGATGTCGGCCAGCGAACGATGGATGGGCTTCTTGGTCTGGTGACGATGTTTCCGCAGCAGGACGAAGACAATCTTGTCCTTCACGTCCTCCGAGATCAGACCGTCGGCGATCTGACGCTCCACCATCTCGTCTGCGGAGACACGATGACGTCATCACGTCACGTGTGAGTTTTATTTTCACCTGACACCTTGCACGGCCTGTCACGGGATCTGACACGACACGTTACCTCTCTCCAGCTGTCAATGCGTCACGGGTATTTTTACTTTTCATCCCCAACCCCCAAAAAACTTCCATTTTGTCATTTCAGGTTTTCTCGTGTAAAATTTTGAGGGACGAAATGAAGTCGTTCCATTTTGAAATGAGACTGGATTACGGACCGTGATGACAAAAGGTTTGCATCTCACCGACAATCTGCGGGAGCGAGAAGGCCTCCAGGTCTAGAAGGATGCTCCCGGTCTGCAGACACGTGCGCAGCTCGAAGAGGCTGTGCAGCGTCAGCGTGGACACGTGAGGTTTGCTCCAGCGCTCGCCGCCCTCTTCCACCTTCTCCTCGAACTTCACCCACCTGTCAATCAAAATGGGCAACGCCCGTCAGTCCCCGCCATGCTACCAAAAAAAAAAAAAAAAAAACCCCAGCATGGTTTTGTTGTTTCATACTGGTCTTGTTGGTGTCTTCCAGCAAGACCAGCATGAAAACACAATAAAACCATGCTGTTCTATCCAGGCCGTTTTTGATTTTAGCAGGACGCCGCCGCCGCCCGTAGCTCACCTGGCCGACTCTTTCCACTCCAGTTCTCCACCCTCCTGCTGCAGCGTGTCCATCTCTGTGAAGATGGTGGGCGTGGGCCCGCCGTCGTCCTCCCCCAGGATGTGACGAAGCCGCTCTGCCGCCGGCGACACTGCAACATGGCCGCCGCAACACTTGTGTCAGTAAAAAAAAAAAAAAAAAGACGCATGCAAGCTGGCGGCTAAGCGAATGCCTTTTCCATTCAATTGCCATTTGAGTGTGCTAAAAGGACAACAGAGGTTATTTGAGTAACTTTCCACTTGGAGCAATTCTACAAGCTCCTCACACTTGAGCAGACCAATCGAACCATCGAGTGTAACAAGCAAGTTCCAAACAAGAATGAGCATCAGGTGGTATAGTGTCTACCAGGCTAACATGAAGTTTGTGTGTGGATAAAAAAACGCCATCCCCAGCTGAGTGTCAAGGAAATATCCCAAGCCACTTCAAAGCGCCCCCCATTGGCTCAGCTTAAAAAGTTACAATGACATATGCTAATGTGTTGAGATTTTGACCAATCACATGACATGATGTAACGTCAGTAGGATCCAGGGAAGCCGGAAGCAGCAGTACAATGCTTCATCCACTAGAGAGCGATTCTTGAGGTCGGGAGCAGTCTGCCATTAACGAGTTGCTCTAATTAGTCTCAGTGGATCGATCTTCATCGATTGTCCAGCCTGGACGGGCTCACCACTTCAAGCTAATGGCATCCGCCAATCATGTCGCCTCACTTCCCTCACAAAATGTCAATGAAAAAAACCCACACAAATTTGGCTTTGATGCTAATGGGTATGATGACATCATCAACACGGCACAATGCTTACAGAAAAACAAATCGTCCCATGAAAGGTTCTTTTGCTGTCGGGACATTTATAAAGTATAAACAGCTGAGCAAAGCTAATAGCGCCATGTGGCAACAGTGAATCCAACAATAATATAATCGATCAGTAATCGATTATTCCATGATGAAAATAGTTGCCGCTTAATTTGACAATTCAGGTTGTAAAATGAATCTATGAATGATTAAATCATATATATATATATATATATATATATCTGTCATTCTCCACCTATATATATATATATATATATATTCTGTTGTTAGGATGGGACTTTGTCATTGGTCATGGCCGTCGTTACCTGTGTGAGAGTCAGCTAGCGTCTCGCAAGAAGAAGCCATGACGGCGGGCTCGTCCAAACCCCAGGCCGCTCGATCGGTCTTGATTGCGGCTGGTCCGCTCAGCAGCATGAACGCCGCCAAAAGAAGCAGAAGCAGCAACTCGCAAGGCGGCAGGCAGCCTGAGATGTCTCGCTTCACTCGCTAACCAGCTACCGAGATTGCTGCCTCACCATCTTGGTCAAGGGTCCCGCAAAGAGCTGTAAGTCTTACTCAGGCGGCCGTCACGCATCAAAGGCCTCAGGAGAACTCTCCTCCTTCTGCGTGCGCACACAACTGATCCACGTACACGTCTTTAATCAGCTTAGGGCCTGAGAGAGACATTTGGGCCCCTACATGGGCCGGCCGTCCACCCAGCGCTGCCTGGGGTGGCGGAATGTGAGCCGGGCGCAAGCGGAGATTAACTTTCCACACGTGAGGTTTATTTTTTTATTGTATTTACTCAATTTTCGATCTGATCCACGATGAATGAACGATGAATGCTTTGCCCATTCCCTGTTTTTGTTTGATTGTGGGAAGGAGCTGCCGCCGGCAACTGACAGAAATCACCATCCTGTGACTAGCCACTGGAAAAAGTCTGGAATTATTGGCTCAATCGTACATGTTGGTGACAATGATAAAAAACTGCTGCCCATTCCAATACTAACCAGGCATGAATGAGATTGCTGTGAGACCAATTCCATATACCGGTAATACCAATTTGCCAATTTGTACATATTTGAAAAAAAAAAAACTCCTGATGAAATGCATATGTGTTGCAGTTCCAAATTACATATTACCGAACTCTATTTAACAAATGTAATTTATTGGATTAAACAAAAGCTGAAACCGACTTGAATTTTATGCACTTTCCAGCTTTCATCCAGTGATTTCTTTGCGTGACACTAGAGGAAGCCCGCGTACCACATTTTGAGAATCTCTGGCCTCTTGCAAACCATCGACAAGATTGCACGGCGTGTCGCAGACGGCCGATGTTATGCAAGAAACTTGGATTTGGACGGCACGGGCCAGGGTTGGATGCGGTTGAGAGTTGTGAAGACAAAAACCAAGGACGGCGGCTCACCTGAGGGATCAGCGTGGTCCATCGTTTGAGAGCAGCGGTCCTGCTCATTGCCGCCGCCGTCATCATCGTCGCAGTCGTCGCTGTCCTGGTAGAGGGCCGGGTGGGCGTGCTGGCGGTGCTCGTGGTAGGCGCGGTGTTCGTAATGCGAGCGTCGAGCGGCGCGGTCGCCGTCGTGCTGCTGATCAGATGAACGGTGGCGCCGTCGTTTCCTCCGGTGGGACGGCGGAACGTCGACGTACAATGCCTCCACATCTGCACAAGCCATACGCGACAGCAAGTCACTTTGGGTTTTACCTCGAATCCCAAAACGCAGCGATCCTCTGGTGAAATTGTTTCGTCCGACGCCGGTGATATGAATCTGATGTAACGTGATGATGAAATCCTACCTATGTGATTAGCATGTAGCTGGTGGGTGCGCACACTCACCTTTGTCGCCACTGTCGTCATAGCGCCGGTGACCTCTGTCCCTGGCACGCGGCCACTCGTGGTGATCCATCCTGGAAAAGACGATGGACATGTGACGCCCGTCGTCGCAACAGGCCGATGTGCCGCCACAGTCCAATTTTTCTAATGCAGTTATTTTTCAGTATTATCTCTCGTTTTTGAAAACTGCTCTTTTTTTTGTCTCTTATAGTTTTGGGATCGGTGGTGCAGAGCAACAAGCAAAGTAAAGAATTTCATTGGCCCGTGATCCCATCGCATTTTGAAGGTGTTGACTGGACACTGATGGTGGAAAATGACCTCCTGCCCGACGCCATGACTTCCTGTGTGTGGGGGTAATCAATAGATGTCATTCAGGATGGCTAAGCAGCTGTTGAAGCCTGATCAGCCACTGTGAAGGTCACAGGCACTTTTCCATCACTTGAGGCTTGACTTACATTGACTTCCTGTTGGCTTACCTCCTGCTCGTCACCCTAAGCAGTTCGCCCTGTCATAAGTCGTCATGCGCACGCACTTGCGCATGAAATACACAAGGGCAAAGGTCAACACTGCGAATTGAGAGGAACGTGAAACACTCGGTAGGCCTTCAGGAAAATTCGCGTGACAGCCATCACTAAAAGCATTGGCAATGTCACACCCCAGCGGATGGGACAGACCCGGCGTCGGTTTCCACGGTGATGAAAGATGAGCCACACGCACGCAGACGAGTTGAAATATTTACAAGAAAACCCGCCACAATTTGCACTAAATGATATGTTCATTTTTGATGCGCTAAAGAAAATTAGACAGAATGGTGCTTACCCGAAGAAGCAAAAGAACAAAAATGATGTGTGCAAGTCAAAGTAAAAAATAAATTAAAAAAACGGAGCAGACTGGCTGAGTTGCGTATTCACCCGACAGCAGACGACAACTGGCGCGACTCACACTGATTCGACCACACTGGGTGCGCGACTGGGCGCGCGTGTGTGCACGTACCTGCAGGGCATCCATCGACGTGCACTTTCCATTTTGGAATACATCAGCCACCCAACATTGACAGGATTCCACCCCAGTTGCTATTCCAAGAGACACAACTTGTGTTCCACTGAAGACATCCAGCAAACATGTCGAAATGAGCAAATGAAACATTTTTAATTCCGAACGTTTTTCACACGTTGTTTTTTATTTTGTAACCGCGTCTGACGTTTTCACAAATCAAACTGCACGAAAACGGCCTCAAAATCTCGCAATTTATTTTATTTTTTGTTTTGTTTTTTGGAAGTGTGCCCGTGGCCAATCAATGAGTGGAAGGGGCGGGGCCGTGGTGGGACTTATGCTTCAAGATGGCGGCGCTCTGCCAACGCCGCCATTTCGTTCTGTAAAAAACAATTTTAGCACAGTAAAACAATCAAGTTGTTTGCTCCAAAACAATTTGCTGAGCCGGGAGACAAGCTAAGGCTAATGGTAAGTTCTGTGAACTCTCATTTCATTTGTTTATTGAATTTAAAATGTTAGTTTGATATCTGAAGTTCACTCGTTTTTTTTAAATTTTGCATTTTCAACGCGAGATTGCTCAGTAATTCATAAAAACAAAACTTGCTTGTGAACAGATATAGAGTATAGATTTTTGATCAAACATGAAGTCTACCAAAATTTATAATGGATGTAGAACCACTTTTGTTATACACTAGTTGGAAATGAGGGAACAAAAATGAGTGTTCTTCCTCGTCATGGCACGAGTGCTACACAGCGCCACCTTGTGAAAGCGAGGGGAACTTGCTTTGATCACATGACCAGTCATTATGTACAGGAAACTTTCATTTCAACAAATTCTTGTTTTTCTTTAACTTGTGACACCGACTTTGAAGTGCCAGCTGTGCGGTTGTGAGTGTGTGTGCGTCACAATCAGTGTTAGTGTCTGATAACGGGCAAATTCCGCCTTCAGGTCTCCTGTCCGTTTTTTCGAATTTATCCATCTTTATAAATAACTCAGAAAAACACACATGCCCACGCAAAACACAAATCAAACCATCGACAAATAACATGCACATAAAAATACATTTGCGCACAATTGTGACATCATCATCACACCATGTTTATTGTGACTTAGGTGCAAAAACAGGATGTAATCCATATGAGCGTTACATACAAAAGGAACAACAAAGTCAAATTGACGTGGCAGCGTTTTCGTGCAAATGTCATAGAACCTTCAAACAACTTTCAAAAAGTCAAAAACAGCAAGTGGGGCAGTTGTTTCATCTCCATGACGACGGTCTCAACTCCCCGCCAAAAAAGGGAAAACCCCCCACACCCAATCAGCGGACAGAATGGGCAGGGGGCGGCGGCCGGCTTCATGAACGTCGCTTCAGCCTGTGCTTGTTTCCATGGCGACAAAAAGTCAGGCGTCAGGGTGCTGGGAGATGAATCGTGTGTGCGTGTGCACGTCAGTGAGTGTGGGCTGGTCGTGGCGGTCATCTCAGGTGGGCGGACGCATCTGGCGTGGTTCCGCCAACAGCTTCACTTGTCTGTCAAAGACAACAAAGCGGCCATGAAGGAGGCTTTCAAAATATCACATGGCCACACCCAGCACGTGCCGCCCAAAGCCAAACTCAAACTTTTAGTAATTTTGCATCGTCCATCTGCCCAGTGTAAGCGCTTTCAGTTTAGAAGCAACTGGAGAAAATTTCAAATTGGCCTTTGTGGAAAGCCTGGAAACACTTCAAATCAAAATGGCAGACTCCCTAAGTCTTCTCAGGCATTTTTTTTTGTCCTCGGGCATACTGTGATCAACAGCCCTATCAAATTTCAGTTTTCAGAGTAAAAAAGGCTTTGTGGGCCTGAATTTTCAGAAAGATTCCTGGGAACAATTGCACATGTGGACGTGTGCCACACGAGTGCCTCTGCTTTAATTTCCGTCATATTAGCATACAGGAAGCGGCCGGTCGCCGCCCGCCGATTAAAAACCCATCTGCCGGCGCTCCTTCTCGGCATTCGGCCTGACGTTTCTGCAAACCAATCTTCATTTTTCACAAACTGACCTCATTCAAACTCGTCCGGCTTCCATCAACCTTCCACTGTCGTCAAAGCGGCTTTGCTCTGACCAAGCATTCAGATGATTAAAAAAATTATTTACAGCTAGCTGGCAAATTTGAAATGGGATTGGTTCAAGAAACAGTATGAGTGTGTGTGTGTGTGTGTGTGTGTGTGTGTGTGTGTGTGCGTGTGCGCACCCACCCGAGTCTCCCTGCATGCTTTTTGTTGGGGCACCGTTGCCCTGAGTGGAAGTTTCATATGTTGCCTAAAAGACAAGCACAGCGTCTCAGAATTCAGGAATTCAAAGGATGTGCAACAGATCAAACATGGATGAAAAAAAAAAAAAAGAAACTGCATTTGCGTGCTTACCTTCCGGATCCTGTGCCTGACAAGGGCGGCGACGATGACTGTGGCGAGGCCGAGTGCGATGAAGCCGTACTGCATCACCTCCATGATGGCGGGCAGGACCACCAGGTTGGTGTGGAAGGTGTCCAAGATGGGCCCGTCGATGAAACCGCTCTGAGGACAGCGAGCGGGGCGCACGTCAACTTGCGCTCACCATGAAAAACACCAGAACCCGGCGTCAACTCTGCCTGTGTTGGGAAGCCCTCGTAGCCGCGATCCAGCGGGGAGGCCATTTTTCAAAACCGCCTGTTAGTGGTGTGAGCTCGTGGTTTTTTTTCGGTGCTCAGCGCTGGAAAAGTGGCGTGTTTCCACCCCACCGCATTGTTGGTGTGAGCAGTCAAGAAACCGCCCCATTTTTTTTCCCCTTTTGATCACTGATCTACAAGTGCACTTCATTGACCAGTGTAAGCTGATTTTTCATCTGTTGCACTATGACGTTTTTTTTTTTTTCTTTTCCCTAGAAAAGCGCAAGATTCAAATCAACACGAATCGCGAGTGGAGATTTCTACTGTTGAGCCACAAGTGGGCGATTCCCAAGACAGCCAGTGAAAGGTGCGAACAGGAAGGAAGGCAGCAAGCACTTCCTGCGGTCTCTTGTCCCACCTCCTCAAACCAAATCATGGGCATGATGGTCTCTGGGATCTTTCCAGTCTCGCTGCAAGAAAAGGAGAGAGAGCAAGAAGAAGCAGATGAAAGAACGAAGAATGGTGCCGCTCGGCGGCAAGGTCGTAAACAGGAAGTCTCTTTGATGGTGGCGGCAAACAAAAGGCGGACAAAAGAGCTTAGGGAGCAGTCGTACGTAATTGCTGACACCCGCTTGATGTAAAGGTTGAGCTGCAGGCGGATGGACACATTGAGAGGGACGCCCGTTTGCTGCAAAGACAAAAGCACAGCAGCAAAAATACGTTAACGAGACACGCGGGACACGCAAAAGCGCCGTCAAATAGCTTCATGTCATCAGATGACCGCTCCCTGGCCCGCGGCACAATCGTGAGAGAGGAAGACCGGCAGTTGCGTGTGATTGCTTCTTCCTGTTTTGTAGGTTAGTTTTTTTTTTTTGTTGTTCTTATTGCTCTTTTCCTGTTCGCGTTCACACATGTTTCACTCGTCAACGCCATCGGAGAAAGCCGTTCGACATGGCGGCTCGCGCTAACAAGTTAGCATTGACGCTAGAGCCGGGAGACCGATCCATTCCCGCCATTCCTTCAACTTTAGTGTTCGGGTCCAAAAATTGTCCATTTTCAAGACTTTATGGGCGTGGCCAAAATGGCATCCAGTATGAGAGGACCTTCTCCCACTATAGAAAGAACTAAATGCCGTTGTTGGCATGCGCCGCATCTCATGAGCAGAGACCGCACGCGCGTTTCCAACTTTCGACACGACGCCAGCGCCATGCCCCGAGAACTGCAACAACCGACACAATGACATCCCAATCGCTCAAGCGTACACCGCAATATTCATTTCCTTCGGAATCCTGGCCACTTGAACGCGTAAGCTGCAATATTTGAACAGTCTAATTTCCCGCGTCGAGGACGCACAAACGATTTATTGCGCGCTTGCTACTAGTTCGATTAAGGACACATTTTGGCCCATCGTTATCCTCCTCTTCATGAGGACAAGAATTTCTTTTAATCATTAACATGTCAATGAAAAGCATTTCGATCTGAATGTGGTTGTAAACGCATTATCCAATTACCTTATCTGCAATACACTTTTATCAACTATCAATATATGTGTGTGTGTGTGTGTCCAACATGCCACAAGGAAGATTACAAGTATGACACGGTGACTGTCTTACTGTAGTACGGATTGTTTTAATGTTGTGTTGTTGTTGACATGTACAGAAAGGTGCTCATGTGAACTTTGACCTCGGCCTGTTCAAATGATGGTTTAAAAAAAAAAAAAAAGTGACCCTGACACTAAACACAAAGTCTGCATGACGACGCACAACTCGGGACAGTTTATCTCCTGACATTTTTTCACCCACCGCCATAAAGTGCCCATTTTATCTGGCCAAAGATAACATTTCACTGCCGCACCGAAGGTGTGCACGCTTCTACTCACAGGGTGGATGTCTATGAAGAGTCCGTGCTGGTCCTCGTTGGGATGGAGCCCGTGCACAAAGTTCAGCAGGACGGGGTCGGCGTTGAAGAAGTGAGGATGTGAAATGAAGACGGGAGAATCTGACCAAGATCGAGGAGAAGAAAGCATCAAGTACGTTGTTTGTTGACTGCATCGCAAAGTCTCATCCTGGGGATACATTCTTGGGACTTACATGGGATATATCGATTTAAAAAAAAAAATGGAAACAATTTCCGTTCTATCCTTAATGCATTTCGGATTGGCTCTCGAAAATTGTGATCCAGATGAAGAAAAATGATCGCAACTTTATTAAAAGTCATATGGCCCTTAAATAATTAAAAATGAATCAACAAAATAGTTTTTTTTTCCCGCCTTAAAAAGTGACGTCAAGATCTGATTGGTCACTTAGTCTACACGTGAGCGTCTGGGCGCGAGTTGTGGTATACAGCAGCTCCCTACCATGGCTTCACACTACCTTCATTGTGATACTTTTTTTTTTTTTCCAGTTCACTCAAGCGGCGGCGCGCCGGAGGCTCATCCGTTAACTCAAAACAATGAAATCCACACGTGGCGGTGGGCAGCACTGACTCTGGCGGCAGCTGCTGACGTTGAGCAGACCCGACTGGCGGCAGGGACAGAATC